CTGGGAGAAGACACTGATTTTGAGTTCCACTGTCTTGCTCCAGCATGAAGAGCTAATTCCTGACATTTTGGAGAATTTGCTGTGCCAGGATTGATAGTCTGCATTGCCTGCCGAAGCAACTCTTGCTGTTTCAACTGAGGTCTTTCCTTCTCCATCTGCAATTGTTGGAGACGCATCTGTTGCTGTTGGTTGGAGTTGCTGCCACCCATAACACCTCCCTGTGGGTTCTGGGGAGCCAAGGGAGGTGGCTGTTTTACTGGAGCACTTTGACTGATTCTCTGGTTCATGGCAAAATGAGGGTCAAGCCTTGGGTCTAGTGGAGAGGTGATCTTGTTCTTATGGTTTATATAGTAAATTTCTCCATCCTGAGTTACGGCTTGTTCCCATCCATCAGGAAGAGGACCCGAGGCTGAGTTCACTAAATTCTGCTGCACTGGGGACTGGTGGGGGCTGTAACATTCATCTGAGAACGCATGGCCATCTGGTCTCAGAAAATGTCAGGCGTAGCTGCTGGGCCAGAGACTCCCCCAGTGGGGCCAATGTCCCAAACGGAACAGCTCCCAGCTGCAAGGTTGCTGGAGAGGACTGCGCGGGAGCACGTTGCAGAGTCAGGGCTCCGGCAGGGCCTGTCGGGAGTGGGATCTGGGCTCCGGTGGCTTGAAGGAGTTGGGCAGCTTCTGGAGCCTCGTGGACATGGTCTGCAGTAAGCTGGCCGTCCTGGGGTTCATGACGGCGTTGAAGAGTGCCTCCTCCTCTCCGCAACCCCCTGGACGTGCACAATCTGGTGGCCGGCCGGGCCTGCGGTGCCGCCTGGGATGCCTGGGGAGCTGGCTGCCCAGGACGGACACGGGCCCTGGCACAGAGCAGGCTGCACAGGCGGCTTCCCGGGGCCCTGGGGCGCCCTGCTGCCCAGGATCCACGCGTCCCTAGCCGGGCGAGACGAGGACGTAACGCTGTGCTTGCTCTCGGGCCTGGGGGGCTGTGGCCCCGCAGCCCCCGCTTGCCATGAATGCTGTTTGAACACTTTGTGTGATATGGTCCCTGAGGACTGCACCACCAGCAAGGCCTTTATATTGTAACTTTGCGTTTTACTTGTTTCACTTCTGGTTAGGGATACATTTTGACTTTTTTTGTCTAAATAGTCACTAGTCATCATATGGTTGGTTGGGCACCTGATATATATTGACCTGTGCAAGAAAATAGAATTGTGTATATATAGTTGACTTTGGATATCTGAAATTCCCAAGCTCATTCAGTATAAGGTTGTATAAACCTGTAAGGGAATATTGAGTAGCAGACAGGCTATGTGAAAGGGATCTCGGGGCTTCTGTGCACCGCCAGTCTTGTGGAGCTAACATCCGGGCTGTAGAGATGAATCACTGCGGGGTGAGGGCTGTTCAGTCACAAAGGCTAGGCAGGAGGTCACGCTGGAAGAAAAGGTAAGCACTCAAACTTGTTTTCCTTTTTATTGAAATACAGTGGACCCTTGAGTTACTACCACCTGCCATATAGATGTGAACCGAATGCTGGCCACTTGTGCTCCTAGATGGTCTCGGATTCAGAGCCCGTAAGAATTCTGGAAGGAACATTACAACATCCTTGCCTGTGTGGGGTTAACTGAGAAATCCTGGGCCAGTGTCTCCCTAGGGACGCTGCCATTTGCTTCTATACAGGACAGACTTTGAAGGCTGTGGAGAGGAGCCTGAGCCTTCAACTGATCAACTTGAGTTAGAAGCAGCCCTCAAGAATGAATTGAGTTCTTAAGTCAGGGGTCCACTGTACTTGTTTTCTCATGTACAAATGCTTATCAAAGACTTGCAAACTGTTCTCTCAAAATCTGAGGGTTTTTGTTTGTTTGTTTGTTTTTTGGTATGGGGATCAAACTCGGGTCTTTGTGCTTGGTTCAGGGAATCGAACTCAGGCAGCAGAACCACTGAGCCAAATCTCCAGCCTCTTGGAATTTTAATTTGGATGCTTTTTATGTAATAAATATTTACTTGCCTAAATGGCTTCCAAGTTGTGTGAGGATCTCTATGTTTCTTTATTTAAAGTCTCACTATTAGAAGTTACCAAATACAAAAAAAAAAGAATTAAAAGAATCATACCACAGTGATATATGTGCATCCATGTTCATAGCAGCACAATTCATAATAGTTAAAACTTGGAAGCTGCCCAAATGCCTATCAACGGGAGACTGGATAAAGAAAATGTGGGGATTTTTTATAAAATGGAATACTACTCAGCCATAAAAAATGAGAAATTAGAGACATTTGTAGCTAAATGGAAGCACATTGAGGCAATACTCAAGTGGTATAAATAGGACACGTGTAAATGCTAAATAGTTTCTCTAGTGAGAAACTGAATAAAAATAAGGACTAAAAGGTATAATTAGATAATGTGAAATAGGAAGAAAAGGGACACAGAGGAAGGGGAAATGGGAGAGGTAGGGGAAAGGAAAGAAGGAAATGGAATTAATATGAGAAAGTGAAATAAATGGAAACAAAATCTTTGAAGACAGGGAGGGAGGAGTTGGAGGGAGGGCAGGGGAGTGGGGATAAAAATAAGAACCAAGGTTGACTATGTAAAGGTGCAGATTTCCAACAATGAATGTCATTATATTGCATACATTAAATATACCAATAGAATTCATTTAAAAAAAACCCTGACATTATAAATTCCATTTGACTCAGTCCCCTTCAAGGTACCCTCCTGAAAGAGCGAAATACATAATTATTACTGTGATGTATATATACCCACGTTATTAGCATCACAACTTATAATAGTTAAATCTTTGAAACAGGCTAAATGCTCATCAGCACATGAATGGATAAAGAAAATGTGATATATACACACACAACAGAGTAGTACTTAGCCACAAAGAAGAATACATGTAAGTCATCTGTAGGAAAATGGATGCATCTTGAGACCATGATGCTTAGTGAAATACATGAGATGCAGAAGCTGAAACATCATATGGTTTCTCTCAGCTGAGAAAACCACATTCTAAATAATTCAAAAAGTAAAAATAAAGGTAGTAGAAAACCAGGAGATAGGCCTTTCTGCAAATGGGAAGGAGGTCTAGAGGTGGGGGGGGGAGTAGGGGAGGGGAAGTAAAAGGAATCAAGACAGAGGTCTATGTACCCGCTCCCCAGGATAAATGTATTCAACTTGTACTACTAATAAGAAATGAAACACATCAATACAAAACCTTAATGTTAATATGAATTAAACACACTAATATTGTAAAACAGACTTTAACAATTTCAACTTATTGTGTTGAATATTGTTTCATATATTTCATAGTCATGCTATTATTTAAAAGCAAGTTTATATCGATACTGAGATAATCTTCACGTTTGTCTTTAAGCTGTATTTTTCTTCAGATTTGTTTTTGGCGTTATTTTTGTTTTTGTTTTGTTTTGGTATGGGGGATAGAACTCAGGACCTTGTGCTTGTAAGGCAGGTGGTGGAACCTCTGAGCTTAATCCCCAGCCCTAAAGTTGCCTCTTGTAGATTTTTTGTTTGTTTGATTTTTGGTTCAGTTTGTTTAGTTTTCTTTTTGTACTGGGGATCGAACTCGGGTCCTCACTCTTGTGAGGCAGGTGGCAGAACCGCTGAGCTGAATCCCTGGCCCCAAAACCATTTTACTAGTATATGTTTGCAATACACAGTGGATGCATTCAGTATGGGACACTGATTCATACACATCTCACATCCTGATTCTTCTGCTTTCCCTCCCCCTGCCCAGGTTACTTTCCCGTCCCCATCAATTCTTCATCTTTGTATTCTGTCATCTTTCATTTATCTTGCTTTTTAAATTATTTATACTTTGGGATTCTCAAGCTTTCTTCTTAAGTGTGACTATTTCTGTAACAATAAAGATACAGTAATTGCAATGACTAGCATAGGTAGACTTTTTGTCTAATATTTTCCTGGTATATCTTGTTGCCTTCAAATCTCAGTACTTCTGTGTTCTTCCACTTGAGCAGTTTCTATTTTATTTGAACATGGTAGATATTTAAGTCACTGCCACTTAACTGGGGTTTAGTCTGTTGTTAGTATTTGTGTGTATTGCCTATTTGGATTAATTTTTGCGATCATGTTTTACTCTCACCACATTTTCCTGGGTTTGCCTACGGAAAGGAAAACCTTCACTCGTACTACATGTGCTACCTCAAGAAAATGCATAATATGATTTATTGGGGAAGGTTACATGCAGAAAAGTACCAAAGAGGAAAGCCTTCTCTGAGAGCGCCAGACTCCAAAAGTTAGGCAGAGAACATTTCTTTCCTCTGTATCGGAGAGGAACTTTATCCATTGCATTTATTTTCTGTGAAGACTCTGTTACAGGCTACCTAGAGATTACTGAAGATCCCAAGTTGCCCTTCTTGATATTTGTATTTAATGTTTAGAAATGTGTTTGTACAAGTTTAGAAATAATATTTCAGAGGAAATATAATTTTTCCTTAAAATGAGGACATATTCTTTTGGGGGGGGACGGGGGGCTCCAGGGATCGAACTCAGGACCTGCCTGTGAGGCAGGCACAGTGTGGCTGAGCTCCATCCCTGGCGCCGTGAGGACGGATTCCTTCACTCTCACAGTGCTCAGGGTCTGTGTTTGGAAGCACATGGTTCAGTGAGGACGTATCACTGCATTATAGGATTGCAATGACAAAAAATGATGGTAGCATAAACAGACAAAGCAGGCTTAGTTGTTTAGATGAAGATTGTTCCCTGCTGCTTACTGGTGATGGTTATACACGCTTGTACTTTAACCAGTGGGCCTTTAGTTTCTATGTATATAATTATGGTAATACAGCAATTTTGTTTTAATATTTTAATTGAAAACATTATTGGGCTTATTCCAAAAATTTGGGAAGCAATTGATCAATCTAAATACACTTTTGGCTTCTCACTGCTTTAATTTATAGGCAACCTATGTAAAATATTGTAATTTAGACTTTTACACCACTGATCAAGAAATAAAATTTGCCTTTCAGTATGATTATATGGGCTCCGATATGACATTGACTGCCGAAAAAGTTGTTTTTATCTTTCATCTCATGAACACTGTAAGTATTTGTTTCATATTTAGCTAAGAAACATTAGTACAGTTCATATTGTTTATATAAATTGCATTTTCATATGTAAAAAGTGTAGTCCTACTAACAAGTTTCATCATGAATGGATTTATCTTCAAAAATAGTAAACTGACTATATTCGGATTCTGCGTAAAGACGTAGTATTATATCTGCTGTTATTCAGAATGCTGTGTACCGATCTTCTACCTTCAGATGTTATCTCACCTGAAAATAAAGGTTATGCTGTCTTCTGTGGAGGCCTGGACCGATCAAAATAAGATTCCGACTGACGGGGATGCTGACGATGTGCTACAAAGATTTCTGTCATGGAGAGAAAAGGTTTTGTTTCAAAGGTCCCATGACATGGCGTACCTATTGATGTAAGAATCGCTTCACTCACAATGCTAGATTTTGTATGTTGGCTACTAAAAGGATGTACCAGTCTTACTATTGTCATGATAAGGTGGTCTGTTAAACGTCTGTATGAGTATTGTGTTGGCAGATCACTAAGTAAATATAACAGTATAACACACTATTAATTAATCACAGTAAGCGGTTATTCCCATAGGGGGAATTAATTGAATCACCACTTCAGTATTCCATGAAGTGTGAATTCGTTAACGGGATGGAAAACTGTATCGAACACTTTATGCAGGCACAAAGAACGCAACCTGAAGCGTTAGACCAGGAGATGAGGGAGACAGGCCGCTGTGCGGGCCTCGTCCTTTACCTCACGGTCCTGTACTGACGAAACCTGCAGCTATGAGCGTGCTTTGTATTTTCTGCTAATTTTATCTGCGCATTTTAGGTAGACAGGATGCTGATATTCGCTATTGGGAATTTGTACCTTTACCTAGTCCACGCGGGTTCTTATTTTTTCTCCCCTCCCCTGCCCTCTCTTCAACCCCTCCCCCACCCTATTTACAAAGACTTTGTTTCCATTTTTTCCTTTTCCCATATTAATTCCTTTCCCTTCTTTCCTTTTTCCTACCCTTCCCAGTTCCCCTTCCCCTTTGGACCTTTTCTTCCTATTTCACATGATCTATTATACATTTCTCTTTACATGATTTGTATTTTTAACGGCATTTATATAGATTGCTGTCTGTATATCCTATTTGGAAGTATAAGATGAAATGGAAATCTGAAAGCCTATGACATTATACGTAATAATTTTAATACTAATAAACCTATGCTTTATTTAGATCGTCAACTCAGAATGACTATTAATAACACTGTGTCTCTTCACAAGAAACATTATCCTATTTAGTTACAGGGACCGTCCTTATTTCGTGGGAGCAACGTATCACGGAATGGCCTGCAATCCAAAGCTCGCCATAGGAATCGCCTTGGTATGCATGTGGCTGATGAGTCTTCATGTGTAACAGCAGCCAGTTTTGAACATTGAAATACACATCATAAAAACATATAACTCTTTAGGTCGTGAAACTGAAATATTATCTTTTTAAAGAGAGCTTATTAGGATTTTAAAAACACATGATAGTATTTACCATTGTAACCACTATTAACTGTACACATCAAAGTGTTTAGCGTACTTAAATTGCGGCTGACCTGGAACTCACTTCGTAGCCGAGGCTGAACTCAAACTCACAGAGATTCTCCTGCCTCAGCCTCCCGAGTGCTGGGATTACAGGCGTGCGCCACCATGCCTGGCATACTTAAATTACTTTGAGAGCACTCTTAAGAACTTCTTATCTTACAAGACTAAAACTATGCCCTTTAAAAAAAAATCCCATTTTACTCATCCTTTTGCCCCAAAGAATAACCACTGTATTTTTTCTGTGACTTGACAGCCTCAGCTGTCTCCTATAAGAAGTCACATAGCATTTGATGTTTTGTGAATTATGTGTGTCCTTTAATGTCATACCCTTAGGCTCATCCACATTTCAACAGGCAATATGATTTCCTTCCTTTTTACAGATAAATAACATTCAATTTTATGTACTGTGTTGTATTTCTGTTATTTATCTGTTGATGGACATTTGGGATATTCCCGTAATTTGGCTGTGTACATAATGCTGCAAACACGGGAGTACAGATAATCCTTCAGGTGCCGATGTTAACTGTTCTGCATGCATAACAAGGAGTGGGCCTGCTGAATTCTATGGTCGTGTGCACGTCCTGTGCAGAAGTATCATGTTACTAATTTCCAGCCAGTTATCCCCTCTGTAATCCTCTCAACAGCTCACCGAGGTTGACATTACATTCCCCACATGTCCGGCGACATTAGCTACTTTTTCTCTAGTTTACTAGAAACCAGTTTAAAGGTTCATACCAACATTAGTCTTATTTTATTTTGTCACTGCCATTTGGAGTAAAAATGCTGTTACTCAAGCAGAATCACCTACTTCTTTCCATATTCCTAAGAAAATTATTTAACTATGGTAAGCTAGTTTCTAAGTGTGTAAATTATTTTATATAATACGGCCAGAGTTACTTGATGAAATTGATGGCATGAAGGAATAATTTGGTCGTCTTCTTGTTGTTTTTTTTTAGTACCCAAAGACAATAACTGTAGAGGCATTTTCGGTCGTTCTGGTGCAGTTGCTTGGGATTAACCTGGGATTAACGTATGATAACATCCATAACTGTCACTGCCCAGGGACCACGTGCATAATGAACCCCGAAGCAATGTAAGGTCTTTTATTTATTGTAAATGTGTCTGCTCTTGGGAAATGTGGGTAGTAGTCTCTGATGTAAAGCCTTTTCTAATAAAACTTCTTGAAGAATATATTTATTAACTACATATTATTTAAGACTTATTAGAATTATTGGTATACAAATAGGCTTAGTATTGCTATGTTCATGGTTTCAGCAGGGAAAAAAAAGTGAATGTGGATGACTTTCTGCTGTTTACAGAGACGTGGTAGAGCTGAAAATCTCTTCAGGATCAGAACATGATTAGAGCAAAAGAAATATCTTTATAAGGCTTAATCGTTTGAGCACCAGAGAAGAAAGTGAAATGTGCTGAAGCTGAAAGTAACACGAGTCAGTAACAGATCCTGAGGAGACCAATGATTTGGGAAAGGAGAATAATGGGGATACTGAGGGGTGTTACATCTGCGGGGACCCTCGTCGGATAGCTCCACAGCACCACAGATAAAGGGTCTTCCCTGTGTGAGGCATGAGCACGTCATTGCGGATGAAACTATGAACAGGTCTTCCAGAAAGGCGTTTTCAAGTGCAAACAGGTGCCTAACGACGAAGCTTTTTACTTTCATATTTATAGCCTGAATAATTGAGGGTAAAGCAGTGCTGTGACAGAGCGAGAAGAAGGCGATACTGGGACAAGCACCAACATAGAACGGTGGCCTCCCCAAGGTCTCTCACACGGTCGCGATAAGATGAGGACGACAGGTGGACGGGAAGTATACAGCATCAGACCTCCCAAGAGATTCCACCAGGAAACACCACGAAGCGCGGGGGTGTTCACCACGTTAGACCCACAAAGCAAGTAACCGGGTCATAGCACGCGGAGGAACCCAGTGGATCCCCAAATCTTTTCTACCTGAGAACTCATAAATCACTGGCCAATGCACACTCTAGAAACCTGTCTGCACTAGCACTGAAATATTACTAAACTCATGACCGTGTAAGGGACAAAATCAGTGGGGATTTTGCAGGTTGACAGCGACGGTGAAGGGACTGTTTGTTACGATGTTGGCTCAACCTTGGTCCCTGTCCTATGAAACCTGGTGATGATGAGCACATCTGGTCCAGGTTATAGTTTTAAATTCTCTTCTCCAACAAGAGAACTCTGGAGAAAAGTCAGATTCTGTGGTCAAGGCAAAGAAAATACAAATTAGCCTGGAACATCCTGCTTCCATAACAAGAAGTTGCTCAAAGAATTGTGGAGATTTTTCAAGGGTAAAAATCCAATTTGAAGAGCTTCTCTGGTAGCAATCTGATAAAATTTGATTGTCAAAAATAATGTTGATTATGCTAATAGCCCACTAAATATAGTAGGAAATTATGAGAGTACATTAGTATAAATACAGAAGTGAAAAAATAAAATTTAATTAACAATGCAATATTTAAATACAACCAAACTGTTCCCTTCCAAATAATTACTACCTGAAAAGAATAAAAAGGAAGTTTACAGTGCAGACTGGTAAACACACATTAAGCAACTGATCAAAGTTGTTTTTGCCAATAACAGAACAAACTGAAGTCATATTATACTATTTAGGTTGCAGTGGGATAAATGTAGCACACTTCTGTGATGATGTCACCAAGGTGTGTAACTTCTGTTCAATCATGAGAACATACATCACAGTCTCCTTGGAGGCACAGCCTGCCAACTGACCTGTCATCATCCAACTTGTCAAGGTCATTAAAAGAATAGACAAAGAAAAGAAGTTAAAGAGACATAATAACTAAATGTGTGATTTATTCTAAACTGAATGTTTTTGTTATAAAATATTCAAATATTGTGATATTTGTGGAGTTTAGAATATTGTTCTAGAATCGGATGTTAAAAAGGAACCATTATTTCCTATTTTGAAGGTCCAGTGTGCCACTACAAGAAAATTAATTTGTATGAGGACTGTGTTAAAGTATTTGGCATTATTTTGATATCATATTGGTGTCTTACTCTTGTTCAGTAAATGATTACCCTTTTATTATTTTAAATCATTTTATAAAAGGTTGAGATTAAGCAAAACTTTATTAGATGCCCCTTAACATGGAAATATAAATAAAAACGTAAAAAGAATCTAAGGATCATAGATGTTATGTGCCTTGCTGCTGAATTATTTCATTTCATTTATTTGGTTACTGAAAATTATATAATGAATGTATAATCATAATTTTTCATTAATACAATTGATCATCTTTCGATCCTTGAAGTTTTTAATGTACATTTTCCAGTACTTTCCATTTTGAATGACAAATAAGACTCTTATAATGATGATTATAATAATGAAAACAAGAAATAGTGGGACGTCCTCAAACACAAGTCATTGTACTAAGGACAGTAATGTGTTTTGCGTGTTGTAGCTCATAGTACTTTCACTTCTATTTTCTATCCATTCAGTAGACTGACAGTTTAACGGAATGCGTTCCTTTGCTTGTATCTTTCCGTAAACATTAAAGCCTGCTGCCCACCCTCCTGGCTGTCCTCTAAGCGGATTTGTACCATGCATTAGAAATCACTACTTTGACACGGACTTGATTTCGTGACAAGTATCATTTACCTTTAGACGTTCCAGTGGCATAAAGCCTTTCAGCAGTTGCAGTGTGGATGAATTGAAGCTGCTAGTTTCACAGCCTGGACTCGGATGTCTTCAGAATCAAACAGCTTCAGAAGTGGTTTATGAAGCACACAGTGGAACGTGTGGCAATCGAGTTTTGGAGCCCTCAGAGCAGTGTGACTGTGGCTTGGAAAGTGTGAGCTTTGCATGGCTTCTTCAGATTTATTTAATGTGTTTCTCATGTAGACGTTTAAATGTATTGATCCAATATACAAGGGAAGACTTGTTTTAAATAACACATTTTGTCAAATATCCAAGATAGGGATTCCTGGCACATGTGATGACCACTCCTGATTTTGAAGAATCCGATGAGTTTAAATACTGGGACAGTGGTGCAAAAAATATAATTTCTTTATCATGCAAGTTTTGGTAGCAATGTCATTTTTCTGTACTATAAACACGAGTAATCAGTCATCAGTAATAATTTTTTTGTCTGTTTTTTTGGGACAGGGCCTAGCTTTGTAGTCCAGGCTGACCTTGAACTCACTATGTAGCCCAGGCTGGCCTCAACCTGTGGCAACCCTCCTGCCTCAGCCTCTGACTGCTAGAGTTACAAGTGTGTGGCACCACACCCAGCTAGTAGTCAGTAATGTTGATCCCCAAATATGTCACCTCCAAATTCCTCTCAGTCAGAGTTGACTCATTAGATCAGCAAACACGTTCTCATGTGCGTCCTCATCTCAGTTTTGTCCCTTGTATCTGAGGAAACTTCATTTACTTTTACTGCGTTCTGGTTTCAGTGCTAGGGGTCACACCCAAGGTCTCATAGATGCTAGGCGCGCCCTCTGTCACAAAGCCTCAGCCCTGGGACTCCAACTACAGTGTTCATACACCAACAGCATTACAGAATAGAAACGTAGTGTAATAATCTGGTTGTATATGGTTCTCCTTAGTCACATCTTATGAAAGGTGGAAGTCTCCATTACCACTTAGGGAAAGCAAAAGCAGACTTTGTAACACATTAACCATAAAAATACTAATTTTTTAAATGTTACCATCGTTGCCTTACATGTTACTAATGTTTTTCAGCTTTAATTGAGTTTATTGGTACATTTTAGGGATACAGTACAGTTACATTCATTGTTGGGATCTTGTACCTCTACATGAGAGGTCTTGGTTCTCATTTTTTCCCCTTGTCCCTGCCCTCCCTTCACCCCCTCCTCCCCTCCCCATCTACAAACACTTTATTTCCATCTCTTCATTATCTTACTAATTTTTAAATGTTACTGACAGTCTGTGAAACCCACCTATATGGAAGAGCATATTATAAAGAACTGTTCTTGTTCTTGTATATCTACTTAGTGACTGGTAGCATTCATCTTGAATATGAAATTACAGAACTATATATCTTGACAAAAATGTCCTTGTAACATATACAATAAAAATACTGTTCTGATTTAGAAACTCCGGTTTGACACATCTATCAAGTATCACATGGCGTACCATTTGTGGTAAACTTTTCTTATGAGAGTACATTCTAAAATAGTGATTAAAGGTACTGTACAGAAAATATCTAAACCAGTGACCCAGTCATTTATATTATCAATGTACTGTGATATACACTGTGCAGGACTGCATGTTATACTTTTATAGGACTTCAGTGAGCAGGTTTGTTTATACCATCAGCGTAGACACGAGTATTGTTCCCAGCCAACAGGAATTTCTCAGCTGCATTGTACTTGTGTGGAACAGCCAGTCCACACGTGCTTTCCATTGTTGACTGAATCATCATCCTGCAGTGCAGGACCACATCCCAAAAGCGGTCACAGGCGAAGACATGGTCACGTGGCAAATACATGCAATGCAGAAGTGGTTAAAATTCGCTGAACATATATTTATGAACAAGAAAGCTGAAAACAATTTCATTAAGTTTTTAGCTGTAAAATTTCTGGACCGTGGAATCAGTAATAATTTGATCACCATGGGGAAAATTTTGAAATCCAGTAAAGCAATATTAAAAACAGGTCCAAGTGTTGAGGATTTAGTTCAACGGCACCATGTCTGCCTGGCAGGCACGAGGACCTAGGTTCAATTCCCCGGACCCCCCAAAATAGGTACTGAAGTCAATAATCATACTGTGATTACGGCTAAGTTAGAGAAACGGTTTAATGTATTTTGAAAGTGAAATTAATTGTTTGATGGAAAATTCTTGTGTGTAAGAATATCATCGTGTTTCCTCGTAGGTGTGCAAATACAAAAAGTGCTGCAATGCTAAAACATGTTTACTAATTGGCAATGCCGAGTGTGGGAGTGGCCCGTGCTGTGATCCAAACACTTGCCTTGTAAGCACCCAAAATATTACGTTTTATATTCCTCGTAACTTTTTATCACTGTGCAAGTTTTTCACTTTTAAAAGTTTTTTAATATTAAAATGTTTTATGTTAATTTTTTTTTTATTGAGTTTATTGGTACATTTAGGGATACAGTACAGTTACATTCATTGTTGGGATCATGTACCTTTACATGGCAAGTCTTGATTCTCATTTTTTTCCCCTTACCTCTGCCCTCCCTTAACCCCCTCCTCCCCTCCCCATCTACAAACACTTTATTTTCATCTTTTCATTCTCTCACATTTTTTTCTTTTCCCTTTTTGTTCTTCCCCTTCGTATCACACCTTCCCTACACCTTTAGCTCCTTTCCTCCCATTTCTAAATGTCAGTAATCTTATTAGAATCTTATGCATTGTTGCAGAATATTCACTTTCTTTGGTTTCTTTGGCTAATTGCTGACAGCGAATGTATATTTCTTTTATGTCCTTAAATATTCCACGAGAAGTGTCCGTAAAAGGTATGTTTTTTTCTACATGGGATTAAAGATATTTTATAGTATAAGATATTTTATAGTATTTATATTATTTCATTTATTTTCAAGGTAATCGCTCTCTTCAGATGGTAAATTATAGAAATCTAACTCCTACACAGATGGTGTCAGGATTCAAAGGCCGTCCTTAAGTCTCTATTCAATGTGTACTGAAAAATATCCAGTTATTGCGTGGAAGATTAATTTCCAATTATTTTAATGCTATGAATTCTTGGTCTTGCATGTATGCAGCTTTTCATGTTCAGGCAATTTATAGTAAAATTCTGCCATAAACCACTCAGTATATACACACTGATGTGCAGTGTTCTGATGAACAGAAGACAATAAAACAACTCTCACTTTGAAAATAGCACTAGAAGAATCAGTGTGGAGGAGCCAGCCGTGGGCAGCGTAACACTGAAGGAGAGCCTGGGAAGGTGTCCGTTTTCATGAAGTGGACTGGTGATCAAGGGCGATGCCTGTCTGATTCCATGGTACAGGGATAGAGAGGGCAGCCTGGGGTTTCTCCTTCTCAGAAACAGACCTGGCTTTTCCCACCAGCAGAGCTCTTGCCTCGAACTCTTTCTCCAAAGTTGGATTGAACACTAAGGTTTTTCCAAACAATCCACGGCCATTTGTCTACATCTTACAGGAGAGTGGTTTAAAATGGCAATAATTGCTACATTTAGTAGAATGAAAATTCAGTGAAGTTGCTTGGGAGAGCCTTCGTGCTGAAGTGGTGCACTACATTAGTTCACATTGATTTTATTATGAGTCACAGCATGGATTTTGACTTTTTGCTATCTTTGAAGGCCCATAGGCCCCATATACACTGTTCCCATTTTGTCTGCCTTAAGTGTGAAAAGCTTCCTCTCTCCTTCTCTGTCTGTGCTCAAATAAATGAGTTTCCACAAAGATTGTACAAAATGGAGAAATTTAATCACTTCTCAGCCTTTTGGCTAAGATCAAGTACAAAACTGAGAAATTCAGTCTTATTTTTTTTTTTACAAATATTCTTAAGAGGACAACTCCAAGTGCTGCATACGAAAGACAACAGTCAGCCAAGTTGCTCTGCTAAACATGATGACCGTGCACCTCCCCAGTACCTAGACACTCCTATATGCAAATTCTGAATCATTTTAATAGGTCCCGTACACTCCCTTTCATGTATTAAACAGTTGTATCTGGATGGTAAATGGCACCTAGAAAGCCTAAAGAAAAGATGTGTAGCTTCGTGTTCAGGTGACTCTTTGTTCCCAGCATTCACCACAGGATTTCCAGCGTATCTATCACCTGGGTATATCTGAATTTTGTTCACCAATCTCAAACAAACTTTCTGCATATGTGACGTTGATGAGTTACTGAAACTACTTGCTTTTCCAATTGATGGTATACAATACAGATCTTCTGCTCCCCAGCATCTGTCAGTCTTAGTAGTAGAGGAAGCCAAGTGGATCGAGCTCCTTCCCGGCCCTCGGCATCGTGCCAACAGCGAAGTGTTCTGATGTCCGCCAGAGTCCGAAGCAGATCGATGACCCTCGAGGGCCCACAGGGCAGGCTCTGAAGGGAATGACCTGTAATGAACAATGTACAAGATGCCATCAAGCATTTTCATTTCTTTAAGCACAGATATCTGCTACTTATCTTGAAGAGAATATTCATGATGTCCAAAGCATTTTAACTATGAAAACCTTTTTTCCACTGGGTTTAAATTCATATGTTATTTTTTTTCTTTTATTGACTATATTGGTACATTTTAGGGATACAGTACAGTTACATTCATTGTTGGGATCCTGTACCTTTATGGGACAGGTGGTCTTGGTTCTCATTTTTATTTTAAAGTGAACAGGCCAGTATAGCAGTTAGTGCATTCTCAGTGCTGTGCAAGCACCTCCGCTCTGTAGTTCCAAAGCACACTCGGCACTCCAGAAGGAAACCTTGCAGTTTTCCCTGACAGTCTGCATTCTGTCTGTGAATGTACCTATTCAGGAGATATCCTGTAAGTAGATTCCTATAAAATGTGAACTTTTGTGATTGGCTTTAATTTAGCATAGTCACTTTAAGGTTCATCCAACTTGTAGAATATATAAATATGCTATTCCTCCCCCTTTTTTTATTGTTTATTTGTTTTGAGGCAGGGTCTCCCTTTGTAGCTCAGGCTGGCCCTGTACTCACTAGCCCAGGCTGGCCTCAAACTCACAGTGATCCTCCTACCTCAGCCTCCCAAGTATGCCACCAAGCCCAGAAATTTGCCATTCTTTTTTATAATTGAAAATATTCCATTGCATTTGTATGTGCATTTTTTTGGCAGACACCAGGGATCAAACTTAGGAGCCGGCACCTGCAAAGCAGGCATGTTGCTACTGAGCTAAATCCCCAGCCCTGTATTTGCATATTTGTTGATTTATCCATGGATGGACATTTGAGTTGTTTCTTATTTACTTTACCTGAGTTTTTCTAAATTCATAATTTAAAAATATAATGACTACGGGAAAGACAGAAGTACAATGTTCTTTTTACTTGGTAAAAAAGTATTTTTGGTTAACCCTTCAGTATGCATTCTTTTTTCTCACAGGTACTGGAGCGAGGAAATTTATGTAGGAGAAGCATAGACCAATGTGATTTTCCTGAATTCTGCAATGGAGTAACTGAGATTTGTGAACAAGATACAAAAGCTGCTGATTTTGAATCATGCAGTAACAACACTGCATACTGCTATAAAGGAAGGTGCAGAGATACAGATCTTTTCTGTATGGAACTACATGGAAAATGTAATAATTGTGCTTTGAATGCACTTATTTTTTATTATTCAGGATTAAACGAAGGGCTTTTTCACTGAGCTGCATGCTAAGCTGTTTTTACACTTATTTTAGACAAGGTGTCATTAACTCTCTAAGTTGCCCAGGGTGGGCCTAAATTTATGATCCCCTTGCTTCAGCTTCTCAGAGAGCTGGGTTATAGTCCTCTGCTACCACCTCCACCTTTCTGGAGTTCACTTTTAAACTACAGTTATTGTAATGTCAGTAATTCACATGATAGTCATATTAAAGTTGTTTTTATAAGTCCAAATTTGGAAATAAAATGACAAAGCAACTTTGAGTGATATCAAGAAGTGGAATACACTTAATAACCATAGGACAAAAAGAATAGAACATCAGTTAAATATCAGTGGGTAGGTGCAAAGGGTGGGAAACGTCAGAAGAGAGGAGGAAATGACTGATTTCTTGATCATTTCTGCAAAAAGATACCAATTTTCCTATTTTCAAATGGATAATTTCTAATACTAATTCTTCACATAGCACCAGAAGATGGGAGCAAAACATGTACAACACGTAACAACTGAGTGGTCGTTATTGTTGAAATACTGTAGTGTAATTAGTTTGTAGTTATTGTTAACAGATGACTGACTGAAACCTCTTATATTTACAGTTGCTCAGGGAGGTACAGATCTGTGCACAATGGAAATAAACTTTCAAAATGATGACTTTGGAAACTGTCGTGGAGGAAGATGTGATTTTAAGTATGTGTTTAGGAAAGCCTACATTTCCTATGTGCGTGTGTGTGTGTGCCTGTGCTGCAGTGTCACTTACTGAACACGAAAGCTGTCCCACATACAGATAAATCCATATTCTGTACTTCGTCAGATGAATGTGGTCTGAATAGCCCTAGTGATAAGATCTAGAAACACTGTGATATCTCTCCATGGCTTGACCTGTTATTTACCTGACACACTGCAAACTTCAGTAACTAACAAGTGGTTGTTTTTCTGTCTTCTTTTGCCAGCAATGTTATCTGTGGCAAGGTGGTGTGTGAATGGAAAAATGCAGAAGTGGTATCAACCTCAACGCACCTCTATAATATTCAGTACACTTACCTTTCTGGCCACACGTGTGTGTCTGCACAATTTAGGGTACCGGGGCCTCCTGGAGCAGTTGATAGAAGCCAAGCACCTGACGGTCTTAAGTGTGAAGATAGCAAGGTAAATACAAACTTTGGTTGACACTATATGTGGTGGGAATGTGTGAGAGAGACTTTTTTATATATGCTAAGTTTTACAAATCTGGTTACTGCATGTCAGGAAATGTTCATGGGCTTAAAACAATTATGATGTAAATTAGAACAAAATCAAGGCTTATACTAATTATCTGTTGTTCAGATAGAGTACATCTGAGAGGAATAACAATATTTTGCTCAAAAATGGCATTTGCACTTACAGCATGGAAGAACATTATCAGCATTATGGTAAGTAAAATATCAAAACGCATCCTACAAAACATGAAATTCTACTGTCTGGATTGCAATGGTGCATGAGAGTTCTGTGGATCGTAGTTTACATTAAAGCCTAGCTGTGGTGATCACTGAAGGTGTCTTGCCGGACCCCCCAATTCAAGACTGCAGTAACTTTGTGCCTCTACAGCTTCCTAAAAGCTAACACACATAAATAAAAGTTTTTAGAAAAAGCCTCCTCATGAAGATATTTTGGCATCAGTAACATTCAAAAGTATTTCAACCAAGGAAGATCTAATGAAAGATATCCAAGATGACCTCCGAACTTGCAACCACAGTGCTAACAAAGGACCTACATACCTGAAAGAATAAACCGTTTCCATGAATTGGAAGGTTCAATATTGCTAAGAAGTTTATGATTTCAAAATTAATACACATGACCCAATCAGAGTTACAGTCCCAGCAAGTTTATTGGTTTGTTTTGTTTTTTAGGGAGGCTGCCAAAACTGATTTAAAAGTTTATATGAAGAGGTAAATGACTAAAAGTGCAAAAGATTCAGTAAAATGTTTTAAATGAAAATAGCTGAAATTGACATTACAGATGTCAAGAATTATGAGAAAGTTAAAGTAATTAAAACAATGCTGTAATCATGCAAAGATAGTTTGTCCTATTACTAAAATGGAAACTATTACCCCAGAACTACAGATAAAAATGTTTTAACAGACTCTCCAAGAAAACTTAATGAATTGTCCATTATCCTCCAAGATAAGGACAGAGGATGAGTTATTATGAGTTTCATTATGAAAGTGTTAATGAAAAGTGAACAATGGATGGAAAGAGACTTAAGGGTCCAGAAAGATGAACGGACTGCACCGATTTTCCAAGACCCATCCAACACATATGGTTTTAAAAACAAACCCTGGGCAGTACCTGTAAAGGCATAAGAACTCTGAAAGGTGCAGACCAAAAAACAGGCCAGTTAACGTCTTTCCAGACTTTAACAGTGCAGCAGCGTTCTCTCTCTCGTCCTCTCCTTCCTATTGTCTCCAACTGGGTTCTAAGAGACCTCTCTTTTCATGGTCACTGACTGCAATCCTATCTTCTATATCTGAGAGCCTATCTTTGCATTCTTTTATTCTGTTGCGTACACTTTCTATGGAGTGTTTAATCTCCTGGGTATCTGTTTGAATCTGTTTTATGGATTCCATTTCTTTCTTATGCTGGGCCTTCATGGCTTCTATCGTGGTCCTGAGCTCATCTGTTTTTTGTCAGTTTCTGCTCTAGAGTCTCGAATCATGACTTCCATTTTGCTCACTATCTCTACGGTTATCTGGGAAATTATTTCTGTTTTGAATTTTTCTAGAACCTGATTGATCTGTTTTGTTACTTCCTGTGCTTTGAGTTCAGGGTGTCCTGGTGGTTCACTATCGGCCTTTTCATCCTCATTTGCCCTACTGTTTGCCATTGGTGGACTGGAAGTCTGTCCTTGTGTCTTGCTTAAGTGTTTTCTCATTTTTATTTTCGTTGTTGGACTGTCCTTGGTTTAATCTCTGGATTATCACCCAAATCTTCCTGATATAGTTGCGCCCTAGCTTCTGTTTCTCTAATGACCCACAGACATTCTCATCTTCATAACATCAGAGAAAACAGCTCATCAAAACAACCGAAATGCTTTATTCCAACTGATACAATCAGCAACACATTAAGATCAAGCACAACTTGGACATTGACCACCTGTGGTAATCACTAGTCTATCACCCTTAAATCATTTGAATTAAATTGAAATCAAGAAGCAGTCCAGAACATGTCTGCAGTGAACAAAATTTCAATATAGTGTTTTTACCATTTAATGGCTCAGACAGAGCGAGGATGCAAGACCCCTGATCTCAGTTAGCTGATGGCTCAACCCCATGACGCTGACTGACCTCGGGCTGCAAGGCCCAGATTGAGTTCTCCATCCTTCTGAATGGTTGAACTCCACAACGTTCTACTACAGGTTTCCCACACCCTTTCTTTAAAGATGGTCAAAGTTGGGAACTCAGAAAAATACCCTTGATGACCACCTCTGCCTCTGCAGAGTGGGTCCAAAGACTGGCACCGTCAGGAGGTCTGAGAGTGTGTGTGTCTGTGTGGGGGTGTGGGGGTTCAGGGGCGCCCACGCGGCTACCTTCCTGGCACTGGAGCGATGGCGGCTGGTCGGGAGCAGGCGTGGTTCTCCTTCCCGCGGTGGATCGGGCTCCAACTGGGTTCTAAAGAAGTCAGCAACTGAGCAACACCAAGTGTTGTGGAGAGAAGGAAGTGTTTGAGGGGCATCTGCATTGTGTAGCCAAGGAGCAGCCTACCAAGAGAGTACAGTTTTACTGAGCTAATGCAGAGAAAGGACACACAAAATAAAATGTCCCCAGATCCTTTCTTGCCATGGCTTTGTGAGCAGAGAACCAGTGGACACCCTGTTCTCCCAGGACCCAAGCAGGAGTGAGCAGCTTCTCCCACCACAAGTGTTAAATGACCAGTTATCCCGAAAGCTCCAGATATCCTGACAGTGTTGGTACAAACAAAAACTGCTGGAACCAGGTTTAGAGCACTGTAACCTCATATCTGACTTATTTCAAACAAAAGCCATTCTTCAGACCAAACACCAGGAAAATCTTAATTTGCATGAGGAGATGACACCAGCATCATGAAAGACAGAGATGTTAGAATTATCCTTCTAAAACTATAAGCAGCCATCATGAAGGTTTCATTGAGCCACTACAGACATGTCTGAAACGAAAAAAGAAATAAAGTTTTAGCAACAACAGAGAAGATATAAAGATGAACCAATCAAAAAACTTGGAGTCGAAAAGTAAAATATAGATGTGAAGGGCTCAGGAACAGAATGAAAGGGACAGGAGATGAGAATCAGGAAGGGAAAGAGAAGACAATAGAATTCCAATCAGCAACACAGAGAGACAAGGACCAATTAAAATTTATAAAGACTGAAAGACACATGGAAATACAAGAAATGATATAACTTGAATTCATGTCACTGTCCTGATTATCCAACTTTGTCAAAAGGAATGAACCTATATGTCAAAAATTGTATGGACCTAATGTAGAAATATTCAGGGAAATCTACAGCCTGATATAGCACAACATATTTTCTGAAAATTAAAGCAGTATATCTTAATGAAATGACATCTCTGTACAGAAGGACAATCACAGTGACTGAAATGAACCAGCTAGAACTTTGACATGCTTATACCGCAGGAGATCACCAGGAGAATTAGCTATCATCATTTGTAACACAGGAATCCAGCAGATTTCCTCTAGAGAAAGCTCCCGTGTGATTGAAAGCCTTTTTGTTTGTCACATTATCAGTGGATCAGCCCTGAAAGGTTTGCAGCTGTCTGATCTTACCAGTGATTCTCTGCCTGGGCGAGACTGGTCCTTTGCACACAGCCCGCTCATGAATGTTGTTTTGGTGGAAGGAGGTGGAAGGGTGAGCAAAGGGAGAGACAGAGACAGATATAAAGGGGAGAGAGGGAAAAAAAGGGAGGGAGGGGAGGAAGGAATGTAAAACCAGAGACTTTCATAGTCTCATTTTTCAAAGGTTCTTCCACTGAAGACTTATACTTTATGTGGTATTCGTTGCATTTAAAGGTCTGTGATGCCTTTGAAGAATGATTCAGGTAATTTACCTGGCTTTTTCTCATTGAGCAATTAGATGCTCTGGGTTAACATATGTTTCTACACTAATATCATTTTAATTTAAAAAGATGCCCCTAATTCTAATCTTTGTGTGACTGAGGTTTGTCAAACAACAGTCTTTACTTGGAAGCTGACTTTTAGGCTGTGATACATCCAGGGCTTTAACGGAGTAACGCTTATTCTAGAGGACAGCAGCTTGGATTCTATAATCCCATTGCTTTTGTTGCTCTAGGAAGCAACACCCTTGTTATGGCTTATGTCTAGAAGCACCCCAAACCCTCATGCAGTCATTGAAGGGGCTTCTCCGAAGTGGCTGAATCCAGAGTGTGTGGTGCTGGGATCATGGATTTGGGATTACTAACTCAGCCCACTGTCGGCTTGGCAAAGTTCTGGCCAAGGTTAGGGTGTAACCTAACCTTACTATACCCGCCCGAGGGTGGGTGGCAGGCATAAAACGTAAGGGGCAGAAAGAGGGCCAATGTGCTCCTGCCTGCCTGCTTGCCATGGACTGTTTCTCCTCTAAATTGACCCTCTGCCACACCACCCTGTCTTGGAGCCAGCCAACTACAGACTGCAACCTCTACAGACTGTGAGCTAAATAAGCCTTTCTTCCTTTAACTTTGGGTGTTGAGAAAACGAATTAGGAGAACCCTTCTGAACGTTCTCCCTTGGGATAAAAGTATTGCGCTGGCTGCATCCTGTGACTGAAAGCAAGGGGAGGGCTGGTGCTGGCGTTGAGCAGACCTTGTTCTGCGGCTTGGTGGATAACTCGCCCTGCAGAGCCCCGCGTCAGCAGCCCCTGCCCTCCAGCTCTGCTCTTCTCCGCAGGCTGAGCTGCAGCTCTGCTAGAGCCCTGTCAGGCTGCTCTCTGGGTTCCATTGGTGGCTTTCTCACGCCCTCCTCTGGTCACCGGTGTGTTGTGAAATCTCGGGAAGTCCCTGAACCCTTCCCTTCTTCAGATGGGCTCATCTTGAGTCTTCTGAATTATCAGCATCTATTAGGAACAGGAGGCCTCTGTGTGCATCAGTGTGTCCGTTTGAACTGGGATCACTCTGTTTTCAAAGTAATTCAAATCCATACTTTATCCCCTTGTTATTGTACACTGTTCACTTGATTTCAGAAAAGTAGGAAGGTAGAACCTTGAGTCATCCTCACTAAATGTGGGTCCTTTCAAAAATTGTATTTAACATACATCCACATCTACATGTATCAATACCTAAGGAAATATACGATAGATTAGAGAGATGTGCTTAATTTCTTATTCATCAACATGAAAAACGTGTATCTCCTTTTGCAATTATAATAAAAATTCTAAATAAATCACTCGGAAATTTAGTGTAATAATGTATCAGAACATTATACTACTACATGGAGATCGATAGTAATCCACATTGCAACTGTTCTTATATTGCTTCTCTGTATTTATTTCTAAATTGGTAGGGGATATGAACACACCTCAACACATTCATTTTATGATTGAAATATGTTTGAGACACTTAAACTAAAATATATAGCTTATATATAAGCTAAGCAAGAAATAGTTAACTCCTCATTTTAAACACAAAACTACAGAAAGTCTGATGTTTGTAATTTTATAAAAAATATCACACCACTTTGATACTGACTCCAAGTTCTTTTATTAGTAATGGAATCCAGATTCATGTTTGTGTATAGAAGTGACTTCTGTGTAAAATGTTTTTCCCAAATACACTTGCTTCTCTATTGACTTGATGTTTTGTTGTTGTTTGCTTTAACATTTCAGTTTTGCCTTAATGGAATATGTGAGCAGGTGTCCCGGTATGCCAACAAAACACTGTGTAGCTCAGCTGTCAAATGCAAGGGACATGGGGTATGTAACAGTCATTTTATATTTCATTACCATTACTTTAGTACAACTGAATAGCATGTTCCAAATGCTAATTTGTCTCATTTATACCACTAGTTTCTTTTGTTAATTGGAAGAAATTTCTATCCTTTTATTTGTGTCTGTTTCTTCTTCCAAGAGAAAAATATTTTGTATGTTTGTTTGTTTGATTGTTTAGGACTTGTACTCTCAGTAACATTTTGGCCCTTCTTTTAAGATCATGGTACACAGTATATTAACCCTTGTTATTCTCTTAATTGTTTTGTTATAAAATTTTAGGGTTTTTTATAGAAGAGAGTTTTATACTTTCTTCTTAATATCTACTTGTATTACATTAAAAATTTTAAATATAAAGATAGCCAATATGGAAATTTCTTTTAGAAAATTACAGCTAATTAAAATAGATTATTATTCTCAAATATATGTATATTATTTATATATGGAATCAAATTGTTATACATATTTTGAATTTAAGCTTCCGACTTCACACAAAAATGCAGTGTTATATCTTATTACAATATTGGATTAAGATTAAGGGACTGTGGAAATGGATTTAATAAAAGTTACACATATGCATTTATACATATATATATATACACACATTATATATAATTGAATGTATATGTACATATAAATTTTCACACATTTAATATATTTGTTTTACATACCATTGCTTATAATGTAAAAATTTGGGGAGAAAAGAATTTCTTTTCCATTCAGATCTGTTAAATCTCTCATTGGCTTCGGTTTATTTCCCTGTGTGGATTTTTCATACTATGTTAGAAAAGTCATGGTCTTTAGGACAATGTTAACATTTTTTAGAATCAATTTTTTAATTATACAAACTTCTAGGGTACAGTATACAATGTGACACATGTAGACAATATGTAATGTTGAAAGCAGAATAATTAAAATTACATCTCTTTGAACACTTTTTTCTTTGTGTTGGGAAACTTCGAACTCCTGTCATTTGTGATAACATGTACAGAAACAGCAGGCATTAAGTTAAGTGAACTAAACCAGCCACAGAAAGACAAGTACTACATATTCTCCATCATATGTGAAAGTTAAGATGCTCAAGTCACAGAATTAGAGGACAGAGTAGTGTCCACTAGATTCCAGGAAAGATAGAGGGAGAGGATGATGGGAGATTGGGTAACGAGTACCAAACTATAGTTAGGAAGAATGTTTCACTACCCTATAGCAGAGGGAGTAACTACAATTCATAACAATTTATTGAATATTATATAAATAATTCAAAGCATAATTTTAACTTCTGATTTAAATCTTAAAAATAGGAATAAAACAGGCACTATGGTACATTCACTTGTAAAGATTTGTCTTACACCTAAAATTATTAGCACAGAAATGTGATGAGCTTGCACACTTTTCCTAAGTATTATATTGTCCTTAAGAAGTATTATGGCAGGGACCCCAGTGAGAAGCACAAGTGGACCAGAGCATCTGGGGTGCATGCAGGTCATAGCCAGGGCCCTGCCCAGATACCAGCTGCTTGAGTCCGCCTAGAAAACAATGATGCAGGCACCCAAGCAGCAACCAGAGGCCTCCCCAGATAGCCTCAGTAAATGTGGTTAGATGCCAGCAAGAAGCTCGTGTGAAGCAGAGCAGTGGGGGTGCACACAGATTTCAGCTAGGGCCCGAGCGAAAGGCCCCCTAGAAAACAGCTGCCCAGGCATGCAGGCAACAGCCACATGCCCACCGGATACCATCTGTAGGTGTACACAGACCCCAGCGAAAAGCCCACATGGACCAGAATGGCCCTAGTACTCACAGATTCCAGCTGGGGCCCTGCCCAGACATTAGCAGCTTGGCCCACAGGCCCCCGCCAAAGGCCTGCCTGGAAAACAGCTGGACAGGCACAAAGGCAACAGCCAGAGGACTGCAGATACCACTGGTAAGTACGTGTAGACCCCAGCCGGAAGCCCACCTACACACGAGTGACTCAGGTGCAAAACCACCAGCCAAATGCCCCCCCAGGCAACAGCTACACAGGTGGACAGGCCCCAGCCAGGACCCAGCCTGGACAACAGCACAGGGCGGGGACCCAAAGGGCCACCGTTCTGAACCCAGGAATTGAAGCAGTGATGAGAAGCGAGAAAAGGCCTCGCTGAGGCTTGCTGAGAATTGAACCCCACGGGAAGAACAAAAAGTCGCCTCCAAAAAGGCACAACAGGCTGCATGTGCTGAAATGAGAAGACATGTAAACAAGTCTCAATCCAAAATTCCAGATCACCTAATGCAAAATGAAGGGGCAAGAAGATGGAATAAACTGATACTCAACCAATTCGACGCCCTGAACAGGCAATGAAAGAGGATCTGGAAAAAATGAAGTCAGAAATACTTTCACACAACAGAGACTGTGTCTATAGTGAAAGACATGATAAATAACTCTAGAAGAGACACAGATTTTAAAGGGTGGGGGGCTGGGGAACATGGTGGAATCCCAGGATAGGAAAAAAGCAGAATCCATAAGACAGCTGAAAACTGATAACAAGGAGATTAAAAACTCCACTGAAAGTTTACCCAGTAGAATGAGCCAATCTGAGGAAAGAATATCAAGTATAGAAGGCAGGACTGCAATGAGACACTAGGAAAAGAAAAATTTCTTAAAAATAGTAAGTGACCATGAGAAATCAATCCAGCAGCTACAAGATGATGCAAAGGAGACTAACAACACAGCTCAGAGTCAATGAAGAAACAGGAGAGAGGGCAAAAGACATAAAAACACTGTTCACAGAAGTAATGCCAGAAAACTTCTTAAGCAGGGAAAAAGAACTTGACATACTGATAAGTATGTCATACAGATAATTGAGGCTTACAGGACTCCAATTAGCCTTGTCAAAAAAAAAAATCACCTCAACATGTAATAGGATTCTAAAAACACAACAAAATTCTACAAGCACTTAGAGAAAAAAAATCACATACAAAGGAAAGCCCAACAGAATCACAGCAGACTTCTCAACACAAATATTTAAGTCAAGAAAAGCCCAGAGTGATGAATTTCAAGCACTAAAAGAAAAAGGGAAAAAAAAAGCAACCTCCAACCCAGACTGATTACCCTGCAAAACTATCGTTCAAAATCAATGGAGAAATGAGATACTTTCATGACAAAGGACACCTGAGGAATTTCATGAATACCAAACAGCACTCCAAAAAATTTTAAACATCATCCTAGGAAAAGACAATGAGGATAACAATCCCAGGAAGCCCAGCAAAATGAATCCATCAGGCAAGACAAGAAATTAAATGCAAACGGGGAGAATCAAACAGGAAAAGGTCATGACAAAGATAAGTCTATACATATCAGTTATGACCATCAATGTTAATGGTCTCAATTCACCGATCAAAAGAAGTAGACTGGTAGAATGAATCAAGAAGCAAAATCCAACAATATGCTGCGTACAAGAAACACAGTTCAAAAAGAAATTCAAACTAAAAGTTGAAGGATGGAAAACAATACTCCATGCGAGTGGAACCCCCCAGAAAGCAGGAGTAACTACCATATTTGCAGATAAAATGGATTTCAAACCAACCCTAATTAAAAGGACAAAGAGGGACACTACATCCTTGCAAAGGGAACACATGACAGTCATAAATATATATGTGCCAAATATCAGTGTGCCCAGCTATATAAAACAAAGACTAACAGACATGAAAAATGAGATAAGCACTAGTGGAGTAGTAGTGGGGGACCTAATAACCCACTGTCAAAAAACTATCAACTAGACAAAAATAAACAGAAAATACTAGAACTCAAACTCTTGAACAAATAGACTTGAAAGATATTTACAGAGTGTGCCACCTTACAAAATCAGAATAAACACTATTTTAGGCTGAACACAGGTCATTCTCCAAAATATACCACATACTTGTTCAAAAAACATGTTTAAGTAAGTGCAAAGGAATTGAAGTTATCCCTGTATATTATCAGACCATAGTGCAATGAAATCAGACATCAATAGCAAATGAAACCATAACAATTTTCTAAACACATGGAAATTGAACAGCACACTTCTGAATAACAAACAGCTCAGAGAGAAAATTAAAGAAGAAATCGACAGTTTCTACAGTTAAATGAAATGCCAATACAACTTATCAGAATCTATGGGACACAGTGAAAGCAGTCTCGAGAGAAATTCATGGCAGTGAATATTCATATTAAGAAAACAGAGGAAGCACAAATAAAAAAAACCCAATGCTGAACCTCAAGCTTCTAAAAAAAAAAAGCAGGACAAACCCAAAGTTCATACAAGGGAGAAAATTATAAAGATCAGAGCAGAAATCAAAGCAATGGAAACTAAGAGAATGATACAAAAAAAAATCAATGAAGCAAAGAGTTGGTTCTTTCAAAGAATAAACAAAATTGACAAACACTTAGCCAACCTTATCTTAAAAAGGAAAGAAAAGGTCTGGGTATTTAGCTCAGCAGTTCCACCACCTGCCTTCCAAGCACAAGTTCCTGAGTTTGATCCCCGGTGCCAAAAAATAAATAACAAAAAAGGAAAGAAAAGACTCAAATCCATACAATTAGGAATGAAATTGCAGTGAACCAAGAAGAAATCCACAGGATCATCAATACCTACTTTGAGAACCTACATGCCCATAAGATGGAAAACATAGAAGAAATGGACAGATTCCTAGATACATATGAGTTAACAAAGTTGAATCAAGAAGACCTAAAACTTTTAAACAACCCATTATCAATGAAATTGAAAACATAGTTAAAAACTTACCAATGAAGAAAAGTCCAGATTCCAATGAATTCACTGCTGAGTTCTACAAGACATTTAGAGAAGAACTATTGCCACTACTGTTTAAACTCTTAAGTGAAATTGAAAAGGAAGCAATACTCCCAAATTCATTTCTGGAAGCAAGCATCACCTTGATTCCAAAAGCAGAGAAAGACCCAACCAAAAAAGAGAAGTATAGGCCAATGTCACTAATGAACACAGATGCAGAAATCCTCAGTAAGCAAACAATGCAGAAGATCATTAAGAAGATCATATACCTTAAAGATTCAAATGGTATAACTGATAATGTGAAACAGGAAGAAAAGGTCTAAAGGAGAACGGGAAGTGGGAGGGGTGCGGGAAAGGAAAAAACATGAAAAATGGAAACAAAGTCTCTATAAATAGGGAAGGGTAGAGGGGCTGAAGGGAGAGCAGGGGAATGGGGAAAAATAAGAACCAAGATACATCATGTAAAGGTGCAAAATCCCAATGATGAATGGAACTGTATTGTTTACCTTAAATGTACCAGTAAACTTAATGGGAGAATAAAAAAAAGATCATACACCTTGACCAAGTGGGATTCATCCAGGGATCCAGGGATGCAGGGATGGTTCAACATACATAAATCAATAAATGTAATAGACTATATCAATACAGTCAAAGAAGGAGAGGGTGAAGGGAGGGCAGGGGTAAGGGGACAAAATGAGAACCAAGACCTGTCATGTAAAGGTACAAGATCCCAATGATGAATGCAACTGTACTGTATACCTAAAATGTACCAATAAACTCAATGAGAAAAAAAAATAAAGCCAAGGACAAAAACTATATGATCATCTCAATAGATGCAGAAAAAGCATTCAACAAAATCCAAAACACATTCCTGATAAAAGCCTTATAGAAAAATTGGAATAGACATTCTCTGTCTCAACTGATACAAAGCCATCTATGAAAAACCAACTTCCTAGATTGTACTAAATGGTCAAAAACTTAAATCCTTCATGCTGAAATCAGGAACAAGACAAGGATTCCACTATCATCACTCCTGTTCAATATACTTCTGGAAACATTAGCCACAGCAATTAGACAAGAGAACTAAATAAAAGGGATAAAGACAGTAAACAAACAATTCAAACTGTCAGTATTTGCAGATGACATGATACTCTATATAGAAGACCCCAAGAACTCTATGAAAGTTGTCTAGACTTACTAACCAAATTCAGTAAAGTAGCTAGATACAAGAAACACACACAAAAATCAATAGCTTTCCTGAACACAGACAACAGACTCAGAGAAATTGCAGAAACAACTCCTTTCACAATATCATCCCAAAAAATGAAATACTAGGAATCAACCTAACAAAAGAAATCAAAGAACTCTACTCTGAAAACTACAGCACCCTGAAAAAAGAGACTGAAAAGGATATCAGAAAATAGAAAGTCATCCCTCACTCCTGGGTAGAAAAAATTCAATATAGTGAAAATGGCCCTATTTCCAAAACTGCTATAGAGTCAGTGTAATCCCAATTGAAATTCCAACAGCATTCTTCTCAGACTTTGGGAATACAATCCAAAAATTCATTTGGAAGAAGAAGCGCCCTAGAAGAGCAAAACCAGTTCTAGCAGCAAAGACGAGGTAGGAGGTATCACAATCCCCAATTTGAAACTATACTACAAAGCTACTGTGATAAAAACAAAACAAAACAAAACAAAACAAAAAAGAAAAAAACAGGGTACTGGCAAAGAAACAGACTGGAGAATCAATGGAATGGATCAGAAAATGCAGAAACAACTCCAGACACACTCAGCCACCTCATCTTCAACAAAGGAGCCAAACACCTCACTGGAGGAAAGATACCCTCTTTCATAAATGGTACTGGAAAATTTGGGTTTCAATTTGCCAAAGATTAAAACTAGACCTATATCTCTCACCATGTACTAAACTACAGTCAAGATGGATTAAATATCTAAATATTAAAACAAATGCTAAACCAACTGGAAGAGAGGTTGGATAGAACTCTTGAAGACATTGGCATAGGAAAAGATTTCATGAACAAAACCTTAGTCGCACGTCAACTAGCACAAAGAATAAAAAACTGGGATCTCTTCTTATTAAAAAGCTTCTGCACAGCAAGAGAAACCACTAACAGCCCACTCTATGGGAAAAAATTTTACCAGCTGCTCTTCAGACAAAGGTCTTCTACCTAGAATATATAAAGAACTGTGAAATATCAGACCTCCCAATTTTAAAGACCCAATCCAAAAATAGGCATCTGAAATGAACAGGCATATCTCAGAAAAAGAAGAACTACCAAATAAACATGAAAAAATGTTCAAATATCACGAGCCATTCCAGAGATGTACATGAAAACAACACTGAGATTCTATGCCAGAAATAATGACTGCTATCAAAAAGTCAACCAATAAATGCCAGTGGGGCTGTGGGGAAAAAGAAACCCCTCTCCATAGTTAGTGGGAGTGCACACTGGTGCAACCACTGCGGAAACCAGATGGTGGTACCTCAGATAACTAGGATTAGAGGTCCCCTTTGACCCAGCTATTGTCCTGTTGGGCGTCTTCCCCAAAGAATTAAAAGAATCATACCACAGTTGTATTTGTGCACCCATGTTTATAGTGGGACACTTTGTAATAACTAAAACTTGGAAGCAGCCCAGTTGCCCATCCACGGGAGACTGAATGAAGAAAATGTGGGGTTTTTAAAATAAAATGGAGTACTACTCAGCCATGAAGAATGAGAAACTAGAGACATTTATAGCTTAATGGATGCACATTGAGGCCATATTCTTAATTGAAATAAATAGGATGCACATGTAAATACCAAATAATTTCTCTGGTGTGAGAAAGTGAAAATGCAATAAAGATCAAAAATATATAATAGATAATATGAAATAAGAAGGAACGGTCCAAAGGAGAAGGGAAATTGGGATGGTAGGGGAAAGCAAAGAAGGGAAGGGACTAAATATGAGAAAAGGAAAAAATGGAAACAAAGTCTTTGCAAATAGGGAAGGATGCAGGGGTTGCAGGGAGGGCAGAGGAAAGGTGAAACGGTAAGAATGTAGGTGTATCGTGTAGAGATACACATTCCCAATAATGAACGGCAGCATACTGTATACCTAAAGTGTACCAATAGAATTGATGAATAAGAACACAAAAGAAGTATGACGGCAACCTTTATTCCTACCCATCATAATTGAAAAATGTATATTTCCTCCTATTCTGGCCGGACTAGTTAATCAGCCTATTCTCTTGTAACATGCTAAATTCACCAATGATTTCCATTTATTTGATAAGTAATTTTGCAATTCTTAGTTATGTACAGTCATACTTATCACATTTCTACTCGTCCGTCCATTGTGAAATTAGCTATCAAGCCATAGAAATTTTGTAAATTATGTTTTTTTCTGACAGTTAATTAATTTGGCTTTAACACTGGCTGTCTTGTACCATAGAGATGTTTCATAGTTTATCTATAAATCAGAAGAAAAGTAATCTGGCTACATGTCTTGCACCATGTTTCCCCTAAATAATATACATGTCCTTTTACTTGTAGCTTCGTTTGTTTCTTCCTTTTCAATAATAATTATACTTGACTTTTTGTGGAACTTTCACATGAGCATTTTTCTCAGTTGTTTAATTCTCCTCTTGACTTCTTTCATTTCACCGACCAATCACATCTTAAAATATTTTCTGGTTTTACAATTAAGTTTTTATTAGTACACGTATATGTATCTGATTATGCAAAAGCTTTATCCTCATTTTTGTTGCTTTTTTCATTTTATGTACAACTGATATCTCATCACTGTTTGCTAAAAAATCTATCCTGACTCATAAACATTTTTAACTGTCAAATGTCACCATTTATGGTGCAGACTTTTTATGCCTCTCTGACCTAAGACACTTAAATTGTATCCAAAACGTTATCCACTTTAATGTCACAAGTAACTGACACTAGCCCTCACAAAAATATATTTAAAGTTTGCGTTGGCTACAGAGTGTTTATTTTCTTTGGTTTGGGTTTCAGGTCTGCAATAATTTCAATAACTGCCACTGCGACGCTGGCTACGCCCCACCGCACTGTGACCCCATGCCATCATCGCCCGGAGGCAGCATCGACGACGGGTTTTGGTTTGCGATAGGTCAGTGTCTGCAGACCTGCGTGTTCTCTCACGGACGTGGCCCACGCCCACACGGGGTGGACACGGCGCATCTCCCGTGGGGGTGCTCCAGCTGAGGGGGCGGAACTGCACTGTTTCCGGTATTAAATTTAAGGTTCAGTAGCCTTTTGTGGCTAGGGCCATGACCCCGACAGTGCAGCTCTAGGTTCGTGTCAGCCACAGTTCTGGTACATTTCAAGTCTCATGCAAAGATGAGGATTTTAAAAGCTCTGTTAATTTTAATTATGGCCCCACGAACATTTCCGTTTACACAGAAGACTTTTCGCGTAAGTATGAATTATTTTGTAAAAGGTAACAGCTCTGTTGCATATTCTGGCCATGGGCACGTTCCGGGTTGGTTTGCATCTTTAAATGTCACCTGACTGCTGGAAGGGAAAGAACCGACTCTTCTGTACCTACAAGGCACACATAACAGGCAGCACTAAACATTCTTAAATTTATCTGATGGAAGCTCACGAGGACTATGCCATACTTGTTATACTAACGTATTTCATAGTTCAAATCATATTCCTCAAAGAATGGCTGAGGTCCGTACCCACAAGCCAGATGTTTCTAGGTACAATTTCACGCAAAACCAACTGGACGCAGGAATAACTTACTGGGCGGGCTTCACATCACCACAACGAACTCCCGAGCCGGCCCCTTACAGGCAGAAACATTTTCACTCACAGTTTAGGGATCTGGGCCGTGGCTGTCCAGCCCTGCCGCAGGGACGCAAGTATCGCAGGACCACGAATTGGACAACGCCGCTCACCTCGTCAACGTGTCCCGGACAGAAGAGACGGGCTGGGCCCCCGCGGTCCCCTCCAGGGCGGCCCCCACTGGCCAGAAGTCTCCCCTCGAGCCCCCTTCTCGGTGGGTAAACATACCAGGCCCTCCACTCACGGGAGTCTGAGGATGTCACCTACCCAATGACAGCACTTACTGTGGTGTCCCGGCACAAAAGAGCTGAAGAACTAAAGAAAGAAAGGCGCTAAAGCACAACGGGAGGACAGTTAGGAGCAGGACACGGGCAGCTTCGCGTGCATCAGAATGATTTGGCATGCCAATAGATTCATTTCTTAATAATTAAATTTCCAATGTGTACTACTTTACATTCGCTGAAGCTCTGCCCACTGCGTATCAAGGGGTCCGATGTCGTGTTTCCAAACGTGGTTACAGTGTGCGCCGATGAGATCCAACCGCCTTCACCCGCCTCCCTCCCGAAGCTTCTCCTTTCCCAGCACTCACTCTTCTGCATTCAGGTAGACTTTCCTCAGTCTCCTCCTAGTAGAGGTCCTGTTAGTGCTGCTTGCCTTTCTAAGTCTGTTCCGTACAGTTTCCTACGAATGAAATGAATTGTTATTTACCATGAATACCTACTCCATTGCGTATACATAGCAATCATTCTCTCTCGTCTCTTGATGGCCCCTTGGCTGATTCCACGTCACCGCTGTTATAAACACTGCCCCAGGAGTAAGCAGGTCTGTTTGGGGGATGCTGATTTCATGTCTTTTGGATACGCATCCAGAAGTGGGACGGCTGTATAATGTGGTAGTCCACTTTTAGCCTTCCTTTTTATTAGTGCACATTAGTAATAAAGAATAGTGATTTATATTTTGGTATATTGGTACATGCATAGGACATATTTTGATCACAGCAGACCCTTCACTCATGAACTCAATGGGTTCCCAAGAGCTGGTTGTAACTCAAATTGGTTGTAAGTCAATACAGTTGATATCTGAATGTTTACCCACTACATGCTATAGACAACAAGAGGCAGATGAATCTTCCATTAACCTAATTAACCCAAGTCGTCCGTATGTCAGGCCAGTTGTAACTTGAGGGTCCGCTGTATTTTAATCCTCAATTCCCCTCTCTTTTTACCGCCCCTCCCCAATCTTTTTTCCCATCTCTGAAAGTCAGCCTTCCAGTATCCTAGTATCTGTGTATGTACGCACACATGTATTATTTTTATTGATTGTATAAAAAATGCAATGATTAACTTTGACTGGCTTGTTTTGCTTAACACGACGATCTCCCATCCATTCATTTTCCTACCAGGGACATGTTTTGTTCTTTTTTATGGCTGAATAATATCCATCTGCTGCAGGGCACGTAGGCTGTTTCTGCCTGTTAGCTATTCTGAATTGTGCTGCTGTGGACTTAGGTGTACATATATAACCATAGTGTGCCATTTTTCTTTTGAGAATATGTCCAGATACAACTGGATCAAATGATCTTTCTCTTCTTAGTTTTTTTGAGGAACATCCATACTGATTTTTACAGTTGTAGTACTGGTTAGTTACTGGCCCCTCCAGTAGTGTGCGGGGGGTTCCTTTTCCCCCTATCTTTGCCAGCATTCGTTGTTTTTTGTATTGCTGATGGACAGATAGTCTGACGGGGATGAGATGAAATCTCAGTGTCATTTTGATTTCTATTTCCCTGATGGTTAAGGATGTTGAACAGTTTTTCATGTACTTACTGTCCATTTGTAATTAATTCAGTTTACTTGTCCATTTTCTGATTGGTTTACATTTGATTTTTTTTTTTTAGTTAATCTCTTTTGAGTTCCTTATCTATTCTAGGTATGTATAGTTTTATCAGAAGAGTAACTAGGAAAGATTTAATCCTATTCTGTAGATTGTTTCTTCACTGTGTTGGCTGTTTCCTCAGCTATGCAGATACTTTTTAATTCGTTGTAGTACCATTTGCTGATTCTTTCCTGCAACCCACCCTACGTAGGTTCCGAAGCTGGGGAAAGCAGTGGGAGATGAAGAAAAATGAAAATACCAAGATCATGCTTGAAAGCTGGCACCAGGTGGAGCCATAGCCTGTCGGGAGTTAATGGCTGCCTGGAGTCCAGCACGCTCTTTCTTTATAGGGTAAGACAAACAGGAAGAGAAGGCGGGGTAACTAGAGCTACATGGCCTAGGCTGAATCAGCGTGACTGTCTCCTGGTCAGGGCATGCACAGAACGGGAACAGAAAGAAGGGTACATAATGTGACCGTCTCCTGGGCTGTGCCATCCAGGGTCTACAACCTTAGTCAGACAGACACAGTCTATGTCTGTCTGTCTGTCTGACTGTAGTCTATGGAGGAGAAAGGAAGTAGGGAGGAGGGGAAGGACCATCTTCAGGCTCGGCCCACTGCAATCCTTGATATTATTTATTGTGCTATTTGGGTCATATTAAAGAAGTCTTTGCCTGTGCATGCCTTCAAGTGTTTCCCTTATATTTCTTCCAAGAGTTTCAATTTTCTGGTCTTTGTTTTGTTTTGGGTTTTTTTTTTTTTCTTTTGAGACAGGACTTTGTTATGTAGTCTAGGCTGACCTTGAACTCACTATGTAGCCCAAACCGACCTAAAACTTGTGCTGATCCTCCAGCCTCAGCCTCCAAGTGCAGGGATGACAGGTGTGTGCCACCACACCTGGCTAAGGTTCTGGTCTTATATCTAGGTTTTTGGTCCGTTTTAATTTTTAGTACAGGTGAAACATAGAGGATCTAGTTTTGATCTTCGCACGTGGATATACAGTTTTTCCAGCAGTAGTTATTAAAGAGGCTATATTTTCTCCAGCATATGTTTGTGCCCCTTTGTCAAAAATCAGATGGCTGGGCTGAGGATTTAAGTCAGTGGTGCCGCCACCTGCCTCGCAAGTGCAAGGTCCTGAGTTTAATCCCTATTACCAAAAAAGAAAAAAATCAGATGGCTGTCAGTGTATACTACAGGTTATATCTAAAATGTCCCCCACAGCCTCACATGCTTATATGTAGGGGTTCCGGGAGGTGACCAGAGTCCACTGCTAAGTTTCTAGCTAAGTGTGACTTGGAAGGTGAAGGCTGGTTGGAAGAGCTGGATCACTGGGCACGGGGCCTGGGTCCTCTGCTCCCCCCCGCCTCCATCTCCTGGCTGCCATGCCATTCCATGGACTGTTTCTCCTCTGCCGTGCCCCTCTACCCTTCTGCCCTCCCTTGAAGCCAGCTTATTATGGACTGAGACCCCTACAAACTGGGAGACAAAACAAACTGTGCCTCCTTTAATTGTGGCTGTTGGGTATTGTGTACCAGCACTGAGAAAGTAACCAAGGCAGATTTTGTTACAAGAGAAATGCAGTCAGTGCTTTTAGGCTACCTGACCGTGTGGTTCAGAACCTTTGGAACTGGCTTGTGGGAGAACTTTGGAAAGGTTTAGAGATGTTGGCTGAAGAAGCAGCCCTAAAATGCTGTAAGTTGAGTTTGATGGAAGATTGTCAATTTGTGGGTGTCAGCATTGTATCTCTGTGGCAACAAAGTAACTCAGACAGTGCTTGAGTTTGTTTTGTGTTTTCTGTTGATTCCATTGGTCTGTGTGTGTGTCTGTGTGCCAGTATCAGGTTACACTTTTACTTTGGCTTTGTAGGATATCTTGAAATTGGGTATGGAGATGCCTCCAGCATTGCTCTTTTTACTTTTGTGTGTTTTGGACTTCTCTTTTTTAATTCATTAATTTTACTGATACATTTTAGGTGCATAGTATGTTGACACTCATTATTGGGGATTTGTACCTGTACATGATATATCATGGTTATTTCTTTCCCCACTCCCCTGCCCTCCCTTTAACCCCTCCATACCTCCCTATTTATAAAGACTTTGTTTCCATTTTTTCTTTTTCTTATATTTGTTCCCTGCTCTTCTTTCTTACCCTCTACCCCTCCTTTTCCCCTACCTCTTTGGACAGTCTTGGCCAGGGACTTGGGACAAGTTGGGCACACGGTGGTGGGACCAGTGTGATCTGTAGGCAGAGAACAGACACTGAAGCAGCTCCGGAGTGGGCTCACTCTCACTGCCGTTCCAATGACTGCCACGCTTGGTGCTCACAAGGTAACCGGTGAGCTGGCGTTGGTATTCACAGAACACAGCGCTCATGTGAAATCCATTCTATCACTTTGGATCTGTGTCTTTACAGGTGCACTGATTTTCTTGCTGGCAACATGTAGTTGAGTTTGTTTTTTGATCCAGACTGCCAGTCCAGGCCTTTGAATTGGAGAACCAAGACCATTGATATTAAATGTTATTATTGAAGATATAGTAGTCATGTTATTTTGTTTTTCTAATTGATTCTTGTACGGTCCTCATTCATTAATCTATCTTCCAGTGAAAGTTGTCATTTCCTTTGCTCTTGTGATTATCTTCTTGCTCTGTGTTTGGGATCCACTTAAGTATTTTTTGCAATGTTTTCTCTGTAGTCATGAGCTTCTTCATTCTTTACTTATCTAGGAAGTTTTTTAATTTCTTCAATTTTGAAAGGGCTTTGCTAGATATAAATCTAGTTATCAGTAATTTTAATTCATATCTTGAACTACTTCACTGCAAGACTTACTGGTCTTCAGAGCTTCCACTGAGAAATTTGATGTTATTCTGATGGGTTTTTCACTGTAAGTGACTTGCATTTCCTTATGCATGGCCGATTTTGACAGTGAAGCATAACTGTCAACTTCATGAGAGCCACCTAGGAAATCAGTAAAGCTTATGTCTGGGTATATCTGGGTGGGTCACAGAAGCATGACCGCAGGATCTACATCTGGTCCCTAATCTCTTCCTGTCTGGTGCTATTCCCTTGCACTGCTTTCTGGCCTTCAAAAACTCGGTGGTTTGGGCCGGAGATTTAGCTCAGTGGTTCTGGCACCTGCCTTGCAAGCTCCAGGTCCCAAATTCAATCCCTGGTACAAAAAAAATAAATAAATAAATAGCCACTCTCACTACTTTATGGGGCCAGGAATTTATCTAAGTGCTTCCACTACCTGCCCTGCAAGCACAATAATCCAAGTTCAATACCTGGTATAAAAAACAACAACAACAACAACAAAAAACCTGAGCAGCTTTACTTGGCCACAATCTTCTACCATGATGCTTCTTCCTTGGAGCCATGGACACAGTCTTCTGAAACCATAAGCCAAAAACACCTATTTCCTCTCTTAAGTCATTGGGTGTCAGATATTCACTCCCAGCAGTAAGAAAGCTGCTTAACACACCAAGGATATTAAGCATTTTTCATATATTTGTTGGCCTTCAGTATTCTTTTGAGAAGTGTGCAGATTGTTTATTCGTTTTTAATTAAATTGATTTTTAAGGGTTTTCAGTTCCTTACATATTCTGAAATATTAATCTTTTGTCAGATGATTAGTACTTTTTGCTATCCTATAGGTTGTTTCTTAACTCTTTTGTTTCTTTTGATATGTAGAAAATTTTTGGTTTCTGATTTTTAATTCTATGTATTATTTTATTTTGTCTTTAGCATGGGTCTTACTAAAAATAGTTATAACATGTTTTTAAACAGCTGCTTGATAATGAACACAAAAAAAATA